TTTCACACACATTCACTCAGTGAGGGCAAAGTCCATCGAACAGAAACTAACTCATTCATACACATTCACACACCGATGCACACTATTGGGAGCAATTCAGGGTTCAGTATCTTACTCAAGGATACTTCGACATATGGCAGGAGGAGCCGGGGGAAGCTGGGGATCAAACCAACAACATTCCGATTAGTGGACGACCCGCTCTTCCTCTGAGCCACAGCTGCCCAATATGTACATGTGTATGTTTTCACTCAGTTTAGTTCAGATTAATGTTATGGCCACATTATCCAACTGGTAGGCCACTGTTAGCAGCCTCTGTCCCTTAGCATCTTGTATGAGTTCTCTCAGCACCCCCAAATCCGACATCCAGCAACGCTGTTGTAGTCTCCTGCAAACTTGGAAGGGGAGGATGAAGCGAGGGAGTTGCACCTGAATATCATCTTAATTACTTTGGTATTTTTGTCATAAACAGATATTCAGTGATGATATCTGGGTAATATGTATTTTGATATAGCCAAGTTTCCATTTGATTATGTGATGAGTACAATATACAATAGCTAGGACCCTTCAGGGTCCTGTCATAACTACCTTACACCACTGAGCAGTGACCGGGCCAAATTTAGCCCTGCAGTAAAAATAAATAATTATAACCAAAGCTTACATAATATACAATACACAACTTTTACAAAAGAAAACTCATAAATGTACAGTGGGTAACAATGAAAACACAAACCTCATGTGAATCAAAATAAATGTGACCTCAAATAATGATGAATGATTTGTGTTTCAAATAGGTGGCATTCTAACAGAAAATTAATCTAATATTAAAAAGAAGAACAACAACAGAACTTCCATTCAATCATAAATTAAGCAGACTACTACTGTTCATCATGTATGCCTTTTAGAGCAACACAGAGCATTTCCATATATGAGTATTGACATAAGCTGTAGTAACTCTGTTAGTCCTCATTTACCAATGGTAAAAATGACACCTGAGAGTAGGGGAAAAAAGTGTCACTCCATATGTATTTCTTTTTCCTTTTCATAAATTACTACAAACCACTCACAGTTGAGCAGTTGGGGCCTCTGGGGTTCTGCTGTTACCCACTTTGCCTGCTTGGTGGTCAGGCCTTAGTTATTGTCTAGAAAACTGGATTGATGAGATGGAACATCTTGTTTTTAGCTAGCATCATAGAGCCATTTAAAGATTTTCTTGACCAACTGATTATACCCATACATAGTCTCCACTAAAAACCAGATACCACTGTTGAGAAGTCCTGCTTTAAACTAGAGCCTCATACTAGGAAATAGGCAGTAAGATGAGGTTGAAATGTCATCTTTAATCTTCAAGAAATACAATTCAAACCATTGTGTCAAAGTTCTTTCTCTTCAAATAGCAGAATCTTACAAATGACACAATAAGGTGACCTGTATCAACATGTAATAAATAAGATGCATTTGTGTGGAGGTTTATTGTCAAGTACAATTATATTATATTCAGCTCTGCAATAAATAAATAAATTAACAGAAGACCTCCTGTATGTATGTATGTATGTATGTATGTATGTATGTATGTGTGTATGTGTGTGGTTTGGTTCCTTCTTGACAAACCATGCATCAAAACAAACCAATGCCATCCTGGACATTTAAGTTGTTTCTGTCTCTCCCCCCACCCCACCTATATGGCAATGCAGGCTGTCCCATCCTTACAGGGTGGACAAAAACCCCTCCCAGCAGCACTCTCTCCCCCCAGCCCAGCAGTTTATTGAGGGTGAAGCTGAACGGCGACAGCAGGCTCTGCTCCTTCACCTCGGCCATGCTGCACTTGCTGTGGGAGGGACTTTGTTGGTCGTGGGTGTCCTCTGCTTGCCTGTAGGACCCAGTGTTACTCTTCTCCCTGTTGTGGACAGTCTTGGATGTGAAGGCGACCTTTGCTTGCTTGGTGCTTGCTTGGGAGGGAGGGCAGATTCCCAGAGGGGTCAAAGAGAGGGTGAGGCTTTTGCGTTTCTCCAGTAGAGAAGCAGAGCCTACTGGGAGTTGTAGCTGTGCAGGCTTTGCTGTTGGTTTGACTGGCTCAGAGCCAGTCAAATCTGAGCTGGTTTGACTTGGAGCTGGAATCTCACGTAACATCTGGACTTGCTGATGGTTTTGATTGAGAGTCAAATGCAGATAGCGGAGTTTCCCTGACAGGGAGAGCTGCTGGTTTCGATCTGAATGCGAGTGTCTATGCTGTGTTTTATCTGTGTGGTAGAAATTATCTGTGTGGGCCTGTTTGACCTCTACTGAGCCACTGGTGACACTGTCAGACTGATAATTCATGCTGTGACCGGTGTGAGTGTGGTTAACACTGTCACCGATGAATGGCAGGCGATTGTCCAGCTGCCTGGCGAGGAGGTCGCCACCAGAGGCCTTCTGGCTCAGAGTGCCCTGGAAGTGCTGCAGCTGACCCAGGAAGTTGAAGTTTGGGGAAATGGAGGGCCGGCGGTCTTTCACAAACCTTATAAGGGGACAGACAGTATGTGAATTGTTAGAGCTGTTAGTCTTCCACAGCTCACACACTCTGGTTGATACCAGTCGATTGTACAGTGCAGTCAGACAAGATCAGGACAGTTTTTATCTTCATCAGACAGGCCAATTACAACACAATACAAAATAAAATAAAAAAGAAAGGGAAAGAGACAGGTAACGTACCCGAATAAAGAATGAGCATAATAAGTGGCTTATATGTTAGTATTAATTGCTAAACTGATCATAGATATTTTTGGTTTTGAGTCCAACGGATATTATCAGCCAATATTGGCCAATCGCAGACATATTGGAATCATATTGGTATCGGTGTATATGTTATCTGATTATTTTGAGGGGTATATAATGCAGAAAAAAATTACAGGAAAGGGGAGCAGAGAGAGGGCATGATACGCAGCAAAGGGCCGCAGGTTTTGAACCCTGGGCCGCTGCAGCAAGGACTCAGCCATGGTACCATTCCAGCTCAAAACTTCACTATATTAGCTGCCATATTGGCATTGATGGATGTACTAAACTGCAACTATGGAATAATACTGGCAACTTTATGCTTTTCCAAGAAATTCACTCCTATTCCAGTTTTTCAGTCAATTACATAATATAGAGTTGATTTATATTGGAGGATGCAAGTGAGCAACCAATCGCAGGTAATAACAACCCTGTAGGCAGCCAGTTGAATGAGTGAAAGACCACAGTGTCTCACTCTGAAATATTAGTGGTCACACCACAATGACATTCGTTCGGACTCTACTGTATATATAAACAACAATAAACATGAAAAACAAATAAAAAATGGAACACTGACAACCCTGATAACCACATTGGCAGATATGATGCATTATTGCACACCTGTAGGCCTGGTCCAGGTCCATTCCCAGGCTGTACATGATGTAGGCTACAGCCAGAGCCGGGGAGCGAGAGATTCCTGCTGCACAGTGAACCAACACAGAGGCACCAGAAGACATGGCTGCATCTGAAAACAGACACAATGGCAGTTATTCAAACTGCACAGTAAGAGACAGGCAGCAGTAAACTATCAATCAATATGATCAATATTTGTACAACAAACTAGACTTTTTGCTCTGAAAATGTTTGTTTAGTTTTGTTTAGTTGATGTGTTGTGTTTTTGCAGTGTGACTGTGGGATGGTGAGTCCAGCAGTCCTTACCGATGAAGTGCAGAGCCTGAGGGATCCAGGGCAGCAGGTCATCCCACAGGGAGTCGTCAATGGGGATGCGAAGATATCTGGAGCGGGGCAGAAAGGAGGGCTGTGGGCTGCAGCGGCTCACACTCAGCACGTAGGAAATACCTAGAGAGGCCAGCCCATCCTACACAAACGTATGTACACACACACACACACACACACAGGGATGGAAAGAGTAAAATATTTTAATTCCACTGAGAGGAAACTGTAGTCACATTTCAGTAGGCTCTGACACTATTGGTGGTAGTGCATGTTTGGTAATATTCTACAATGGTAGAAAGTGACTATTAGTAACTACATTCCAATTAGCACATTCATATAAAACATGTGACCAGTGTCTAAAATGTAGATTTAAGGCTGGACTTTTATAAAAAATAACTCTTGTGATATTTGCTGAAACTTTCACTATATCCTGACAATAGTACAGAGACAGATAATCTGTGAATCTGGCTCCTCCTAGTGCTCCTAATGGCAATAGCAAGAATCCACCAGGCCTGAACGAAAACAACCAATCAGAGCTGAGGAAGATAGTTGATTGTTCATTTCCAGGGCATCAAATACCAAGGCTTTATGTACCACAGATTCACGGTGGATTCTCGCAAATACCATTAGGAGCAGTAGGAGGAGCCAGGGTAACAGTAACATATGACAAAAAGTTATTTTCTTTAAAAGTTACTACTGCAGCTTTAACTACCCATTAAACAAATACAACAGTAAAAGGATGCTTGCACATTAATGCATCAGTTATCAATCCAATAGATTCACATTTTACATTGTTTCACATTTGCTTTCTTTCGCACTCCTGTAACCAGGTTTAACTGCGGGTCCACAGTACTACATGACATTTATGCCCTTAAAAGTCGCAGTAAGTTTTAAGCACATAATTAGGTTTAGACATTCTTGGTTATTTTTAGGCACCTAAACCGTTTTGGTTTAAATTTACATTAATTCAGGAAGGTATCTGAGGGGGTGGGTTATGTAGTAAATATCCAGAAGTTATAGCAACTAGGGGCAAATTGGAAAATGGATTTGTCTGGGTTTGAACATTGATATGTTTTAGGTTTATAGACATTTTCATGTGGCAGTGTTGGAGTTTAAAATTGAAAGCAGTATTTTGACATAGTTGAATCTTTACTTTTACATGTGTGAAGGATCACTAGTAGTCCTCAACTTACCTGCGTCACGTCCCTCTCCGCTCCGAGATAGAGCCGCGGCAGGATGACGGACAGCGGAGGCCGCTCGGACTCTCTCTCCCGGGACCAAACCATATCTGCAGCACATGTAACACAGCAGCTGGAGGCAGTGTTTTCTCTAACAGCTTTGATGACGTAAGCCTAAGTTGTCTTGACAATGCCTAAAATGTTGCTTTGTTCTATCTGAGTGCAGAAAACGCTTCTTAATCTCAGCACATATATTCCATCTGAAAAACAACCAGCAAATTGTGAATTGTGTTTTCTTATTTAGAAATCGTATTTATTTTTCTCATGCAAAATGTTAATGCTACTTATTCATATTACTCACTGTGAGTGTCCCTCTTTAAAATCGCGTCCTCTTCTAGTATCAGAAACCAGAGCAGGTCTCAGGTCTGCAGAGTCTGTCCTCCGCTCCTTGCTGAATAAAATCGCTCCTATGCTGCTGCGTCCTCTGTCCTCACTCTGCTGTCTCAAACTGGCTTCTAAACGATGAGCTCATCCTGTTTCCAACAATAGAATCTTGACTGGATGATGTCATCTTCAGCCAATCAGCGCCTTGCCGGACTTCCACACGCGCAGACGCATCTACGCTGTCTGAGCGCGCCTGTCAGCAGCAGGGATGTCAGCATCCAGGCCAGTGTGCAGCAGCACAGTCTGTCCACCAACAGCACTTAATGTTCAAGTGCACATTGTGATAGACAGCTGGAGTCTGCACCACATGCACTGTTCTCTCCAAATGATCCAACAGACGCATTTCACGCGGATTGTGAATAAAATAACACCCTGCTCACCTTTTTCTATCATGAATTGAATTTCATTGAACATTTAGTCAGGTCTGCATATCTAGAGAAATATAAACGTCATACATTTGACAGCAAAGGTGGCCAAGCATTTTTTTGGCAAGCATGCCACCCCTCTAGATCCGCCCCTGTCTGTATTTGCTGCTTTCATGTACGTCATTGCGTTGTTCCTACAGTGTTGTCTGTGTGCTAGGGAAGTGTGTTACTGCCAGTTAAGAAGTAAAATGGATCAGTATCACGTTATACTGCAAAAGTTTATTGTTTTACCATAACCAGATGGTTTTCACTATAAGAACATATTTAGGGCCCGAGCACTGGCCGTGCGAAGGCCCTATTGTAATTGAAGGAATTCTTTTTATTTTTCCTCCCAAACGAATGCATATTTGGAGGTTTTCCTGTGCTCGAAAACTATGAACACAACAAAATGGGCCCTCAGGGGCGATTTTTTCGTGATGTATTTGAACGAACTCCTCTGAGGGAATTTGTCGGATCAACTTCAAAATTGGTCAGTACAGTTAAAAAATATTGCTGATCAAAAGTTGTGCTATTTGTGCATGTAGTTGAAGGGCTTAGACGAGTTTTTTGGGGGCTTTTATTGCCTTTATGATAGTGACAGCTGGAGAGAGACAGGAAAGGATGCTGATACAGAGGGGATGACACGAAGCAAAGGGCCACAGGTCAGAGAAAGCGGCAGCAGGTCAGATTCCGCGATACCCTCGGCCGCGTGCAGCAACGGACTCAGCCCTGGTGACATGGCTCCTGACCCACTGAGCTAACCGGGCACGCGCTCTGGCAGCTTTAAATTTCACGATTACTTCCATACAATACAACTTTAAGTTGCATAACTGGCCATACTGCTGCTGACTTAGCTAGCTGAGCGTGGTTATCCACCACGGCGCCGCCGCTTCGAGCGAAGATACTGCACCTCAGCAAATTGCAGCCACCCACTGCTGCTGCGCATTGAGTGTGATGAATGTGTGTGAATGGCATGTAGTGTAAAGCCCACTCTTGAGCTGGTTGGAAGATTAGAAATGTGCCATTATAAGTACAGTCCCCATTTAGCCTTTCATTTACCATACTTGGAACCACCCCCTTCCAGATCAGATTTGTGTGGGTGCAAAACTCTGCACATTACAACCATTCGCCGCAGTGAAGAATCGATATTCTCAACCCTGTAGGAGACAGAAGGACACAGATTTCTTGATTAGCAGGAGACTTTAATTTTTTATAAATAGATTTAGTGTATATATGTATTTCTTTGAATAGTTGGCTTACCCTGTGCGAATCAGGGCGCTGGCTACTGCAAAAACACTTTTGAAAATTTTAGTCAAGTTACTAGAATGCAAATTACATGTACAATTTTTAAGTATTCTGGTAATCAGTAAATAATAAAAAATGTAATTAAAAACTTGTGGATTACTTTTTTTTTTTTTTTAAGTATATTTTTTGGAAGCCTTTTATTGCCTTTAATTATATTGACCAGGCTGAAGACAGACAGGAAAGGGGGGGCCAGAGATGAGGGGGATGCAGAGCAAAGGGCCGCAGCGCGGATTCAAGAATCCGGCTGGGCCGCCTGCCAGCAAGGACTCAGCCTGGGTTATATACGCATTATACCACGCCAGCTCTTACCCAGCTGCAGCTAACCCGGCGCCCTGGATTACTTCTCAAAGCTGTATCTTTAAGGCCCAGTGGTGTAACATTAAGCAGAATCTATTGTCAGAAATGTCAATATATTGAAAAACGGTATGTTTTGATGTAGTGTAAAATAAGCCTGATACATTAAGAATCGTTTGTGTTTTAGACACCCAAGGTTCACCTTCCAGTCCGCCATGTTCTGACAGTAGGCCAGAAGGGACAAACCAAACACTGCGTCGTAGATCTGGGACGCTTTTTGCACATTTCACAGCACTGTAGTTTCTCCTTTGCACTTGGAAGGGGAGGGTGAAGTGAGGGAGCTGCAATTACACTACTAGATATAAATCCTACAGACTGGATCTTTATATAATAATCTAAACTTTAAAAATTCATTGAACGAACCAGCCCACATTTCCACCAGTTTTGAGTGGAACCATAGTAATCGGATGAATCAACAGAGGGCACTGCACAACAACCTGTAGAATATGACACGCCCACTTTGGTTCCCAAGAAAAACCTGTTATTTTTTGGTTCCAGCTGGGAACCAACTTAATTTTGGTCAAATGCTCAGAACGGTTCGTAACTAGGTGCTCAAACTGGAGCATAGCCGGTTTCCTGTTCCTGCAAAAGGCCCAAGAGAGTGCCTTTCATCAGATTTCACTCTTTTTAAGAAATCCTTTTCCATTTTTTTTTGTTGTTTTCTTGACCATACAGGACAGCACTTGCTGACAAATGGTCATATAATTCAGCAGTAGGCCTAGCACTAACACATTTAACCCAAGTTTTATTCCTCCTACATAAGTGGTTAAGTTGAGGTAAGGTTCATTAGTTTGGTGGCCAGCGTTTATTGGAAAATTTGTTAAAATACGCACTTACTGTTTATGTACATTTCTATACATTTCTATAATTCAATAAAACAAATTCCAGGATGACAGATTATTTCCAGGATATTTGTTCATATTAATTAATTTTGAGGTCTTTCCATGACTGGAAAACGTTTATTTACCTCAGAAGTGTCAGAATTGTTTCCCGTTTCCTTTGATGCTCTCCCAATGTTCACTCCTGTTGAGCACCTACTGAACATACTAGACAAGAAGTTTCTGTCATCATGTTATCACTGTGACACAAGACAGGAGGCGTCACGTTGGATATATGGCATAGTTTTACTTTCACATTTTTTCATTACAGAGTAAATCTTAATTCTAACACAGGTATTGGACAGGTTCTTAACACCGATACATGAGGCTGCATTAGCTAGTGGATACTGCATAGACACACACACAAACTCACATACACACACTCACAGAATGACAAAATGACTACATTTTCCACTACAAAGTTCAATGTCCTGTGATTGCCGTGCAGCCACAGAATGTAATGTGACCATGTATTAGAAATGTCTTTAGGCTTTTTTTTTTTTTCTTTCCTCCTTACAGCCACACTCACATTCACACACATATACAGAGCCCCTTGTAGTTGTAATGGACATCTGGTTGTCTTACATCCTGTCCTCTCCCACGACATCAGTGCTTGTACGTGAGAGGAAGCCTGGGAGGAGTCAGAGAGCTGTGGATCTAAACATTTTCAAGTTGTTGAACATCTGTGTTTTCTCCACATTTACTGTAGTGGTTGTGTGTGAATCACATGTTAGCATTGATCTCTAACATAAATGTTTGGGTGGAGGAGCAGGAATATGAACGTGTACGTGTGTATATCAGATCTAATCTCGCTGTCCAGCCTTTGAACGAGATCATGTGTTGGTGCAAGATTTAATTGCTGCAGCATCATCTGTTCGGATATACACTGCCGGAAAACAAAACTGTTTTATACTTTGATAATTATGGTGCATCTATTTGTGCCCTACTCTGATCATAGCTAAGGCTGTGCACTTCTTCAGAAAGAAAATCAGTAGGAATCTATATAGATACTGGCGCAGCAACCCAAGCCAGTACCATCAACCTCCAGAGCCATGATCACTAACATGTAGGGGCTTCCTGTTGAACAGCTAAGGGAAGCAAGCTGTGGACAGCTCTTCATCGGCGGTGGGAACTTGTTAGTCCTTGTCACCTAAGTGTTCTTGCCTGCTGTTCAGAAATATTTCTCACCTTCTCTTTCCCTAGAAAAGAAGATGCACTTAAAAGACTTACTTGAACGAGCCGCACCAAGGTGAAATGTCTGTTTTATCAGAGGTGTTTTCAAATGTTCCAGTTTCACAAGAGAGAAAGACCGCACTGATGAGAACTATGAGGCTGGCTTGCCATGTATACATCTGATACTGAAGTTCCCCGCCTCCAGTAAAGAGCAGCTCATAGACACTTCCCTAAGCTTTGCACCTGAAATATCTTCCAGGCAGGGGATGAGACTGTTATAACACGACAAGTCTTACCCCTGTATCCGCCGTCTACATAGTGTCCACTCTGTGCCATCCTCCTACTCAGGCTTGGGATAGATAATCACAGGCTTTCTAAACAAGCAAGATGGGAATGTCTCAGAAAGCAATAAAGCAATACACTGGCGCATATTTACATATACATCAATAACAGAAACAAGTGTACTAACTGACAGAAATGAAATGAAGGGCTACTCATTACAGGGAAGAGGAATCAGGTCATCCAGAGATAAAGTAAAGGGGGGATCTCATGCTGGAGGGCCTCAAAGAGGATCCCAACGCCTTATGCGCATTTTCAATGGGAATGATTGATGAAAATGAATGCAGAGATCAGAGTGCTGGACCCTCAGGGCTCACTTCATCAGTGGGTCCCACCAGAACCACAAGGAGGCCTTTTACTGATGTGTGTGTATGTGTGTGTGTGTGTGTGTCTGTGACTGTGTGTGTAGGGAGGGGATGAGTACATTATATTAGATAAACAGCTGCACCCATTTTGCTTCAAGGAATGTTCTACCAATTCAAATGAAATCTCACTCAATCACACACACACACAGTATTAGTACGACACAGCTGTCAGAATGGGACCCCAGCACAACCATGGGAGACACACACACACACACACACACACACGCGCACACACACCAGCTACACAGGTAAACACCAACAAAATCAAGAATGTAGCATCATGTTAATAAACAAGTAGAAGATGAACTGGAATCAGAATGTGGGACAAGAATAATGATAATAATATGGCCGCTGCTGCTAGCAGTGGCTGCTTTTTCCCTTATGTAGGTTACAACTTTTTTTACTCAAAGATTCTTTGTTGGAGGGAGTAGGAGAGGTGCGGCAGGAAGGCTCGAGGGAGAGGTCGCTGGTGGGGATGGTGGGAGTACTGGTAGAGGTCTAAGCTCTAGAACTGTTCGGCCAGCAGCTCACAGAGACGCCTGGACACGGAGTCCTTGCTGCAGCGCAGAGTCAGACGGTACATCTGGAGACAGACACACACACACAGTTAGGAGAGCCATTGTTCATCCCAGCAAAAATAAAGGAAGGGTCTGATTGTGAAATCAGGAAATATGCCCACCCTGAAAGCACAACAGGGTTTTTAAATGGAAATATATTGCTCAGTGCTGATGACCACATGTGAATACTGCAACCTCATTGGCCGACAAATAAGCAAACAAGGAAGTGTCAAAAACTGCAGGTCTTTGGAGCAGCCACTTGAGGCTGGTTGTCGCACTTGCTTATGTTTGGCTATGTTAGCAAAGTTGTCTCTGACTCACTAGTTTTTGATCGTAAGTAATGTAATCATAACAAATGTACAGATGTCTATAATTAACAATAATCCCAAATCATACAAAATGTTCAGCAGAAAGAAACCCCCCGTTCTCTGTTCTTCTTATATAACTCACCTGTTTAAATTATATTAAGGCCTAAGGTTATGCATAATTAAGGACATGGGTGGGTGCCGTCACATGCAGCTGTTTTCAGTAACCAGGTTCCATCAAGTCCGCCTCAGCTTCACCCATGCTCCACCTCTTTGCTCATTTTTGGATTAGCTGGGAGCCGGCGGAGTCAGGACTGCCAAGATGGCTGATCCATGATCTGATGAGACTGGTCTACGTGATTCTTGATTGAATTATTATCTTCAGTATTTATAAGATTAGTGTTACACCGAGCCATAATGCTAATAATGATTTATCTATGCATAACACGTAGCAGTGATGTTGTGGTGCTGTACCTGTGCCTGGGCGTTCGGCTCCAGTCTTAGCAGACAGCCAACCTGCTGGCCCTTGGTCTGGATCACTCCAGCACACACGTAGTTCTCTGGGTTTGGATCGACGTTGTCCAGCAGGGCCGTTCCTAGTCCCAGTAGCTAGACACAAACATACCAAATACAAACATACATACATCACACATTGATCACTGTTTACCACAAACATACATTCAGGTACATTTTATGTACTCCACCAACAAAAATGGGACTGTCGGAGGTTTTAAGTATGTAATTTCATACACTTCCAAAATCAATTTACGTATCTTTATTAGCCTTATTGTAGAGATAAATGTGGTTGATGAGGAGATGAGTGTCGATGGAAAGCACACAATAGAACGAGGTGTTAAATTTTGACGTACCTTAGCCTTAAGTACTTCAGTGTCCATGCTGTGGTTGGCCTTGAATATCTTTTGTGCTTCTTGCTGAGGCCTGAGAACAGTTCACACAGAGACTTCTGCTTTACCAGGTAACATAAATGCACTGACAGAACGCACAGCAGCACACGCACTTACTGGCTAAGCTGTTTCCAGCGCTGGAAGAAGTCACTTGAGGTCATCTCTGTCGGCTGGAAGAATTTGTTGATGGTGACGGGCAGCTTGAGGGTCAGGTTCTGCAGAGCTCCACCATATCTGAACATGAAATCATTTTCCAGGAGTTTTTCTTGACAATACACGACAGCGCTTGGTCACAAATGGTCATATCATTTACCGGTAGGCCTAGAATTGGCTCCTTTTCAATGATTCAGGGTTCATGATGAAGTATCTCAGTCATTAAAGCACTCTATGTTAACTAGCTTTCGTGGCGCGTTGTTATGTCTCTGTTCTCACCACAGTTCAAGTGTTTGTTGCAAGTTAACATTGCTGTGCATGTACTTTACAAGCACAACAACAAATTTCATCAATAATAGGCCGTATGCATGTAGATGTGACCTTTTACAGCATTATTAATGAGCATCTCGGAGGATTCCATTTATGGCTCTGGAAAAAATAGACCAGGAGCTGAAAAGATGGCTGCAAGTGTGTTTCACTTCACATCTGGTGTGAATAGCTAGATTGAATGACATGATGTAAAGAGAGCGTTTTCCGTTCCACGCTTTGTAAACCAGCTTTAAAGTGTCAGTACAGCTTAGCCTACAAAAAGTTGTAGCAAAAAACAACAAACTGTATTTGGGTCATTTTAATTAAATTCCAGGTGTTCGCATGACTGGAAAACTAGTTTCTAAATTTCCAGGATGCGTGTACTGTCAAAAGTACAGAGATCTGACGACTTTGAAAGTAATGTAGTGTGACCAAGGCATTAGGTGTTGGGTTGTACGAGCTTACCTGAACTTAATGTTAAGCAGTGGGGCATCAGAGAAGTCAGTCAGACACTCGATGTTAAGGACTTGTTGGATCTGGGCTCCACCCTCTACCAGCGGTTCCACTGGTTTGGTCTGAACATTGAGCTGTGGCTGGTTGTCAAGGAGCATCAACACATCACACAGACTGACTTCCACGATATTTAAATATAAATGTACTCGTCACCGCCCAACTCAACTGTTCAGATAACAAGGTTTTATCAAGAGTTTCCTATGTTACCTTATACAGTTAAACAAGGACAAGTTGCTCAAGTTGAGCTTTCTAAATTTTCTATACATACATCATGATGATAGAAAAGTGACATTTCTATTTTGAACAATAGCCCAACCGCGGCATGATTTGTGAGGCTGATCAATATTGATATTTGGTAATATGTATCAACAATAACTCATGTGGCAAGGCATCCAGGCCATCAAGGACTACAAACCGACCAAAACCACACCAACCGACGACGCCTCCTTAGCAGATGAGCTCAACAACTTTTATGCTCACTTTGCCAGAGAGAACCAGGAGAACCATCAAGGCTGTGCTCCCTGCAGACCACCAATCCACACTCTTCCCCCACCGATATGTGTGCTGCACTGAGCAGGATTAAAGCACGTAAGGCTGCTGGCCCTGATGGCATCCCTGGGATGTGCTCATGGCCTGTGCTGGACAGCTGACTGAGGTCCTGACCGACATCTTCAACCTGTCACTGGCCCAAGCAGTTGTCCCTAAGGGCTTCAAAACCACATCCATCGTGCCAGTGCCCAAGCACTCAACTGCAGCAAGCCTCAACGACTTCCGACCTGTTGCACTCACCCCTAACATCATAGAGAGGCTGGTCCTGGCTCACCTCAGAACCAGCTTACCACCCACACTGGACCCCCTCCAATTCGCCTACCGCCAGAACAGGAGTACAGAAGACACCATCTCCACAGCGCTACTCTGTGCCCTTTCCCACCTGGACAACAGTAACACGTATGTGAGAATGCTGTTCATCGACTTCAGTTCAGCATTCAACACCATCATGCCCTCCAGTCTGATCACTAAACTCAGCGACCTTGGCATCAAC